CAACACAACAACCTAAGCAGCTCCCGCCCCCCACAGCCCGCCCACCATGAGGACGACACCGGTGTCGGGCCAGAGGCCCAGGAGAGGACACCCCAGAAAGATTAGTGTCTCTGCCCTGCCTAAGGTACCATAGGACTGTTCAGAGGAAGGCTTGCATTAAAAGGGGCTCTGTGTTGTGTTAAAGGGCGCTGTGTTATGTTAGAGTTCTATGTTGTTAGGGGCGCTGTGTTGTGTTAGGGTGCTGTGTTGTTAGGGGCACTGTGTTGTGTTAGGGTGCTGTGTTGTTAGGGGCACTGTGTTGTGTTAGGGTGCTGTGTTGTTAGGGGCACTGTGTTGTGTTAGGGTGCTGTGTTGTTAGGGGCACTGTGTTGTGTTAGGGTGCTGTGTTGTTAGGGGCACTGTGTGTGTGTTAGGGTGCTGTGTTGTTAGGGACGCTGTGTTATGTTAGAGTTCTGTGTTGTTAGAGATGCTGTGTTATGTTAGGGGTGCTGTGTTGTTAGGGTGTGCTGCATGTTTTAGGGGTGCTGTGTTATGTTAGGGACGCTGTGTTATGTTAGGGGCACTGTGTTGTGTTAGGGGTACTGTGTGTTTTAGGGGTGCTGAGTTGTGTTAAAGGACGCTGTGTTGTTAGGGGTGCTGTGTCTTCTAAGGGCGCTGCGTTGTGTTAAGGGGTGCTGTGTTGTGTTAGGAGATGCTGTGTTGTGTTAAGGGGTGCTGTGTTGTGTTAAGGGGTACTGTGTTGTGTTAGGAGATGCTGTGTTGTGTTAAGGGGTGCTGTGTTGTGTTAAAGGGTGCTGCGTTTTGTTAAGGGGTGCTGTGATGTAAAGGGGGACAGTGATGTGAAGGGCAAAAGGGGACTTCTTTAACTAGCTGCCGACCGCAGATAGCCGAATGACGGCTGCACTGCGGCCGGCCAGTTCTGAGTGGACGTCATATGACGTCCTCCCAGAACGCGCTCTCCTGTGCGCCCCAGGGGGTGCGCACCCGGCGATCTCCGTGATCGCTGTGTCCTACGGACACAGCTGATCACGTGATGTGGTAAAAGGCTAATCACAGCGGCCTTTTACCACGTGATCAGCGGTGTCCAATGACACGCTGATCAGAGGGAAATGCAAGTGCCGGTTCTCGGCTGCACTTTCCTCACGCTGTCAGATCGTGAGGAAATACTGCCGAGAACTGGCAGTTGTCAGAGCGGGGATCGGCACCGATCATCAGGGCACTGATGATCAGTGCCCTGATGATTGGTGCCCAGCAGTGCCACCCGCAAATTCCACCCACCTGTGCCCAGCAGTGCGCCCACTAGCTCTGCCCACCCGTGCCCAGCAGATCACCCACCCGTGCCCAGCAGTGCACCCACCTGTGCCCAGCAGTGCACCCACCTGTGCCACTCTGCAGTGCCACCTACCTGTGCCCAGAAGTGCCACCTACCTGTGCCCAGCAGTGCCACCCACCTGTGCCCACCCACCTGTGCCCACCAGTGCCACCCACCTGTGCCCACCCACCAGTGCTGCCCACCAGTGCCACCCACCAGTGCAGCCCAGCAGTGCTGCCAGTCAGTGCCACCAGTCAGTGCCCAGGGGTTGTGCCAGTCAGTGCCGCCAGTCAGTGCCCAGCAGTGATGCCAGTCAGTGCCGTCTATCAGTACCCATAATCAGTGTCACCTATCAGTGCCGCCTATCAGTGCTGCATATTAGTGCCGCATATCCGTGACACCTCATTAGTACTGCCTATCAGTGCCCTTTAGTGCTGCCTATCAGTGCCCATCAGTGCCGCCTATCAGTGCCCATCAGTGCTGCCTCATCAACACACATCAGTGAAGGAGAAAAAATACCTGTTTGAAAAATTTTATAAAAGAAACAAAGAAACTTTTTTTTTTTCAAATTTTTTGCACTTTTTTTTATTTATAGCGCAAAAAGTAAAGCGCCCAGTGGCGATTAAATACCACCAAAAGAAAGTTCTATTTGTGAGAAAAAAATGATCAAAATTTCATATGGGTACAATGTTGCATGACCGCGCAATTGTCAATCAAAGTGCGGCAGCGCTGAAAGCTGAAAATTGGCCTGGTAAATAAGGGGATATAAGTGCCCGGTAGGCAAGTGGTTAAAGAGGGGACTGTGATGTAGAGGGGATTACATGTGTGAAAGGTATGCTAACGATCATATTATACCGTGGGCCCGTGATGTTGCTAACGAGATCCGGACCTCTGCTAGAAGGAAAATTTGCTGAACGGACCTCCATAAATTTTGATTCAAGACCCCTGCTCTAGAACACCGTTTCTCAGCCTTTTTACCATGGAAGAACCCTTTGAAAAGTTTTCAAGTCTCAGGAAGCCAAAGATGTTGCGGGGGGGAGGAGGGGCATGCTTGCAATGATTTTAACGCACATTAAAGCACCTACTGCTTCAATATGTATATTTTTTATACACAGAGAAGGTCAGTATACATTGTTTGTTACTTTTTTATTAAATTACAACCTATAGAATCACTTTAGTGACACTAAACTCTGGTTTTAAAAAGCAAAAAATTCTATTCAAGTATGTGTATTCTTAAAGCATAACTAAAGGCAAAATTTTTTTTAAATTTTTTAGTAGAGTGGAGTTAGATTAGAACACTTGTCAGTTTTTATTTCTGTGCCCCCATTAAGGAGATTCCCTCTCTCTATTCGTCCTGTTTACTATTATCATTGAAAGTGAAAGTAAAAGAAATTCCCAAATTTTTGGTTGTCCCCAGAAAAGTAATAGAGAAGAAATCTTCCAATGGGGACGCTAGTTCTGGTGACCTGGGGGGGTCCCCGAGGAATTCCCTTAATTTGCAGATTTTCCCTCACTTCCTGTAAGGCTATGGGACAGGAAGTGAAATGGACATTTTATTTCATACATTGGGTGTCTTTTTATAGGTAAAAGTAAGTTTTTCAGGTAAAAAACCTCTAGTTTAGGGTCTTCTTTGAGAATTCTCTAATGTTTTTTAATAATTCCCTCCATCCTATAGGCACCCCAATGTATGAAATAAAATTGCCCCTAGTAAATTGAAACCAAACACCCTCAAAAAATCTTCAGTAGGTACTCTTAAGTCCTCATGCACATGGGATGTTTTTACAGCGGCTGTTTTTGGCTTTTGACGTTTATTTCTACAGCCAGTAAACCCCCCAGCATGTTATCCTATGTGTCCATCTACACACATAGACTGGAATCAACATTTTTTAGCTGGGATTTTTTTTTGGCTGGAAAAAAACCCAGAACTAGTGGGCTTCTAGAGGAGTTTCTAGCTGTAAAAACACTCTAACACTGAAAAATGCGGCAAAACACAGTAAAATGCCGCAAACTGGCATTTTTGGACTTTTTTGACCAAAAAAAAAACATTTTTAGGTAAAAAAAAACCTCTAAAAACACAAATGCGGAAAAACACTGCTAATCGCGGCAAAACAGTAAAATGCCGCAAACCGGCATTTTTGGACTTTTTTTGACCATTAAAAAAAAAACATTTTTAGGGAAAAAAACCTCTAAAAACACAAATGTGGAAAAACACCGCTAAACACTGATGCAAAAACGCTAAAAAAAATCGGAAAAACTCACTTTTTTAATGTGACTTTACACAGTTAACGTTACCAGCGTTATCAAAACGCCCCGTGTGCATGGAGACTAATGCCTTTTTTGATGTTAAAGGCATGTATCAGTGCTGGAAAAAACTTTGTAAAATGTGTCCCTTTGTACTACATAAACAAAAATCGTTTTTTAGATAACACAGGAAAAAAGTACGAAATTCAGGGATTTTATAACTGCTAGGAGTTTGTTATTTATTTCTGGCATGTCCATGTGATTTATGCTATGTAGGACGCACTATTAACACCATCAGAAAAAGATTTGGGACCCATAGGAGACTCATTGAAACAGGAGACTTAGAACACAGTGTCCCAAGACATTTTACGCTCACACAACAAATCAGCAAGTGATTTGCGAGTATGGATCTTGGGTTTGCTGAGAAATTCCCAAAATTGTGCCATAGGGACACATATTGGATATTTACATGAGGCACTTTGGCTCCCAAAGTGTTTAATGAGGAATCGGAGGTACACACTATTTTGTTGATGGGGCATTATATACTCTTATTTTTTCTCTCTTTCCAGCAGAAAAGGTTTTTTCTATAAAGAATGATCACATTATAGGGATTTATTTTAATCTATTTAACACATTTTATTTGTGTATTCAGGATGGAAATATTGAGGCGGATATAATTATCCTTTCATCTTTCTGTTCATATTTATACATAAAAAAAATTGAATTTCTTTTCAAATAAAATTTCTTTTCTTTTCATAATAACTTTTTTTTTTAAATTATCCTTTTAATCCCCCCTTTTTTTCCTCTCCTTTTTTAAATTGATATATTTTATTATTTTCATGATTATTTTCTTTTTATTGTTTATCATTGTGCATAATTTATTCATAATTATTTATAATTAGACACAATGTTTGTTATTTAGTATAGTTCCCTATTTTTTTGCAATAATTTGGGCATTTTTTATTGATTGTTCCCTAACAAACATATTATTGTAACCCTTAATGTGCATTTATTATACTGACGGCATACACAGGTATTATCGGCCGATCGGATTCTATTTAAATCACCACACAATCACCAGGGGCAGGTTTTGACAAAGAAGGTGTGTCCCTCGAAATGCATTACCCCCGCCCCCTCCCTGCCCTCCCTCTCCTTCCTTCCACAGTGGTTCTTATTTATTGCCTGTGCTGTGCAGTCTTTTCCCCAGGCCAAGCCACAGACAAAAAGCTAAACAGAACACTGATGTGCTCACCTTTCTGTCATTCTGCTCTCTCCTTCAGTCGGCATGCTCTTTTCATTGCAGTGCCACTGATTGGCTCCATGCTCTGTTTCCCCCTAACACGGTCAGAGCTCTGCTACATTATATTGCCAAAAGTATTGAGGCACCCCTCCAAATCATTGGATTCAGATGTTCCAATCACCTCCATGGCCACAGGTGTATAAAATCATCACCTAGGCATGCAGACTGCTTCTACAAACATTTGTGAAAGAATGGGTCGCTCTCAGGAGCTCAGTGACTCCAAGCATGGTCCCGTAATAGGTTGTCACCTGTGCAATAAGTCCATCCGTGACATTTCCTTACTACTAAATATTCCACGCTCAACTGTTAGTGGTATTATGATAAACTGGAAGCAACTGGGAACAACAGCAACTCAGCCACCAAGTGGTAGGCCATGTAACATGACAGAGCGGGGTTACAGCAAGCTGAAGCGCACAGTGCGCAGAAGTCGCAAATTGTCTGCAGAGTCAATAGCTAAAGACCTTCAGATTAGCACAACAACAGTGCATAGAGAGCTTCATGGAATGGGTTTCCATGGCCGAGAAGCTGCATCCAAGCCTTACATCACCAAGTGCAATGCAAAGTGTCGGATTCAGTGGTGTAAAGCACGTCACCACTGGACTCTAGAGTAAGTGGAGACGTGTTCTCTGGAGTGACCAATCACGCTTCTCTGTCTGGCAACCCAATGGACGTGTCTGGGTTTGGTGTTTTCCAGGAGAACGGTACTTGCCTGACTGCACTGTGCCAAGTGTAAAGTTTGGTGGAGGGGGGATTATGGTGTGGGGTTGTTTTTCAGGGGTTGGGCTTGGCCCCTTAGTTCCAGTGAAGGGAACTCTTAAGGCGTCAGTATACCAAGACATTTTGGACAGTTTCATGCTCCCAACTGTGTGGGAACAATTTGGGGATGGCCCCTTCCTGTTCCAACATGACTGCACACCAGTTCCCATAGACACACTCCTAAACCTTGTGGACGGCCTTCCCAGAAAAGTTGAGGCTGTTATAGCTGCAAAGGGCGGGGCCAACTCAATATTAAACCCTACGGACTAAGACTGGGATGCCATTAACTGCTTAAGGACCACCCTATAGTAGATATACTGCTACAGGGCAGCCCCTGTGCACAAAATCATGCCTATATATGTTATATTGTAATTTGGGGGGATTTATTATAGGAGGGGGGAATTTGCGAGATATAATTTGTGCTAGGATGGGAAATATGAGAAGAAAGAGAATGTGTGCGCTAGGAGGGGTGATTTTTGGGGGGTGATTGAGATTTGTGCTAGGAGGGGGAATTGGTGTGGGATTTGAGCTGGAAGGCAGGATTGGAAGGCAAATATTTGCACTGGGAGGGTGGATTTGAACCTGGGAGGAGGGGGATGTTTTCATTATTTGAGTGAAAGAATTTTAGCTTGCAGATGGAATGTATGCTTAGGGGGAGAGTCTACTAATTAGTGCTGTCTTTTTTTTTTTGATGGGGAGGAATTTATGCTAAGACAGGATATTTACACTTCAGAGGTGCAGTTTGTCAACTTCGCTGTAGGCGCTAGATGACCTTTCTTCATAGTTACATAGTTAGTCTGGCTGAAAAAAGACAGAAGTCCATCCAGTTCAACCATAGAAAAAAAAAAAAAGTTATAATCCTACACCCACAGTTGATCCAGAGGAAGGCAAAACAAAACCAGCAAAACATGATCCAATTTGCACCTGCAGGGAAAAAAATTCCTTCCTGATCCCCCCCGAGAGGCAATCGGATATTCCCTGGATCAACTTTACCTATAAATGTTATATTCAGCTATATTCTGTGTATCTAACAAAGAATCCAGGCCTTTTTTAAAGCAATCCACTGAGCTGGTCACAACCAACTCTTGAGGGAGTCTATTCCACATTTTCACAGCTCTCACTGTGAAGAAACCTTTCCGTGTTTGGAGATTACATTTCTTTTCCTCCAGATGTAAAGAGTGCCCCTTGTCCTCTGTGATGACCTCAGGGTGAATAACTCTACACCGAGTTCTCTATATGAACCACTGATGTATTATACATGGAGATCATATCCCCCTTATGTATTATACATGGAGATCATATCCCCCTTATGTATTATACATGGTGATCATATCCCCCCTTATGTATTATACATGGAGATCATATCCCCCCTTATGTATTATACATGGAGATCATATCCCCCTTATGCATTATACATGGAGATCATATCCCCCTTATGTATTATACATGGTGATCATATCCCCCCCTTATGTATTATAAATGGAGATCATATCCCCCTTATGTATTATACATGGAGATCATATCCCCCCTTATGTATTATACATGGAGATCATATCCCCCCTTATGTATTATACATGGAGATCATATCCCCCCTTAATCTTCTCTTCTCAAGAGAGAATAAATTCAGTTCCTCTAATCTTTCCTCATAGCTGATCTCCTCCATGCCTCATCAGTTTGGTTGCCCTTCTCTGTACTTTCTCCAGTTCCCCAATGTTTTTTTTTGTGAATTGGTGCCCAAAACTGAACTGCATATTCCAGATGAGGTGTTACTAATGATTTGTACCGGGGGAAATGATATCTCTCTCTCTGGAGTCTATACCTCTTAATACAAGAGAGGATTTTGCTCGCTTTAGAAGCCGCAGCTTGGCATTGATGCCATTATTAAGCTTGTGATCTACCAGAACCCCCAGATCCTTCTCCACCATTGACCCCCCCAGTTGTATCCCCCCCCCCCCCCCAGTATGTATGATGCATCCATATTCTTAGCCCCCAAGTGCAGAACCGTACATTTATCAACATTAAACCTCATTTGCTACATAGTTGCCCAGTTACACAGAGCATTGAGGTCGGCTTGTAAGTTGGAGACATCCTGTAAGGACGTTATTCCACGGCACAGCTTGGTGTCATCTGCAAAGACTGAAATGGGATTTATAATCTCAGACCCTATATTGTTTATGGATATATTAAAAAGTAAGGGTCCCAACACTGAACCCTGGGGTACACCACTGATGACCCCAGACCATGCAGAGTATGGATCATTAACCACTACTCCCTGAATACATCTTTTAGACATTTTTCTATCCATTTACATACAGATTTTTCCAAGCCTGTAGACTTTACCTTACACATTAGCCTGTGTGTGGGAAACCGTGTCAAACGCTTTTGCAAACGCTTTTGCAAAATCCAAGTATACCACTGTCACCCCTCTGTCCAATTATACCACGTCCACCGCCATCCCCTCTGTCCAAGTATACCACGTCCACCCCCCTCTGTCCAAGTATACTATGTCCACCGCCACCCCCTCTGTCCAAGTATACCACGTCCACCGCCACCCCTCTGTCCAATTATACCACTAATGTGTCCACCGCCATCCCTCTGTCCAAGTATACCACGTTCACCGCCACCCCCTCTGTCCAAGTATACCACGTCCACCGCCGCCCCTCTGTCCAAGTATACCAATATCAACCGCCACCCCACGTCCAAGTATACCACATCCACTGACCCCCCTCTGTCCAAGTATACCACGTCCACCGCCACCCCTCTGTCCAAATATAACACACCACCGCCACCACTCTGTCCAAGTATACCACGTCCACTGCCACCCCTCTGTCCAAGTATACCACGTCCACCGCCACCCCTCTGTCCAAGTATACCACATCCACCGCCACCCCTCTGTCCAAGTATACCACGTCCACTGCCACCCCTCTGTCCAAGTATACCACATCCACCGCCACCCCTGTCCAAGTATACCACGTCCACCCCTCTGTCTAAGTATACCACCCCACCGCCACCCCCCTTTGTCCAAGGTTTTGCTCACCCCCTCATGTAAAGAAATAAGATTTGTTTGACAACTTCTGTCTTTCATGAATCCATGCTGTCTGCTGCTTAAAATATTTTTTCCAGCAAGAACTCATCTATGTGGTCTTTTATTAAACTCTCCAGTATCTTCCCAACTATAGAAGTTAAACTAACAGGTCTATAATTACTTGGTAAAGATTTTGACCCCTTTTTAAATATTGGGACCACATTGGCCTTACGCCAATCCAGTGGTACTATTGCAGTCATTAAAGAGTCCCTAAAAATTAGAAACAATGGCTTTGAAATGACAGAGCTCAATTCTTTAAGGACCCGTGGGTGTATGCCATCTGGTCCAGGTGCTTTATTCACCTTTTATTCTGTCTAAATATTTTTGGATCATATCAGTTATGCGAGCCAATGTGGATCATCTGGAGCTGTGTCAATACAAATGCCCATAATGGACAAGAGCTCCCCCATGCTCCTTTGTATACACAGAGCTGAAGAAGGTATTTAATAAATTTGCCTTCTCTTTGTCCCCAGTCACCCACTCTAGATTATTTCGTAAAGGGCCTACATGCTCGGACCGGACCTTTTTACTATTAATATATTTGAAGAATTTTTGGGGGTTTGTTCTGCTATCTTTTTGCAATCTGTCGTTCATTTTCATTATTTGCGGCCTTTATTTCAATTTTGCATATTCTGTTATATTCTTTGTAATGTTTAAACAATGATAGTGATTATAGTATTAGGGTGCCGCGCTCTAATATTGTATAAACCTGAATATTATATATAAAAAATAAAATTAATAAACCTGGTGATTGAATTCTTCATGGTCTTTATTAGATAAGTGCATGATAGTGTTCCTTCATTTTTATATTGAATAAAAGCTCTTTTCTAATTATCTATAGCTTTTTTAACTTTGGCCGTAAGCCACATAGGTTTGATTTTTAGCCTTTTAAACTTGTTGTTGCCATGGGAATATATTTTGCAGTGTGTTCACATACAGTCTTTTTGAAGAACTCCCATTTCTGTGTTGTGTTCATCAATGCCAATATTCCCTCCCAGTCTAAGTCTTGGAGAGCAGATTTCAGCCTTGGAAATTTAGCTCTCTTGAAATTGAGCGTTTTTATTTTTCCCGTATGTGCTTGCTGTTTACAGCTAACAATAAATGAAATCATGTTATGGTCACTGTTACCCAGATGTTCTTTTATATGGACATATGTAATAAGCTCTGCATGGTTTGAGATTACCAGGTCCAGCAGAGCATCATTCCTAGTAAGGGCTTCTATGAACTGTACCATAAAATTGTCCTGTAGTAGGTTTAAAATTTTTTGCCCTTTAACTGTTTCTGCAGTGCCATTACTCCAGTCAGTTTCCGGGTAGTTAAAATCCCACATTATTATCACTGTCCCAGCCCTTGCAGCCCTTTCGATCTGTGCAAGGAGCTGAGTTTCCACCTCCTCATTAACACTGGGAGGCTTATAACAAACTTCAGTGATTACCTTTGTAGTACGCACCCCCATGTGCAGTTCCACCCATAATACTTCAGCCTCATCATACTCTCCATCAACTAGGTCCTCTTTCACACTCGCTCTTCTCACATAGAGACATACACCACCACCTTTCCTATTTACTCTGTCTCTCCGAAAGAGAACATAGCCAGGAATATTAATGGCCCAGTCATGTGAAGAATGAAGCCAACATTCTGCAATACCAATTAAATCATAGCTCTCTTCATGCAACAAAGCTTCCAACTCACCTATTTTGCTTGGCAGACTTCTGGCATTGGTGAACAAACACTTTAATTGATTGACACCTTGTTTACATGTATTTTGCATATTTTTTATTTTTGTACAAATGGTACCAATTCCACTGGTTGTTTGCAACATGGGAACTTCTTATCATCTGCCATAGCCTTCCCCCCATCTTTCCCCATTTCACCCACCAATAAGTACTGACCCTAT